TTAGTCAAGAAGAAGCCAAAAACGAAAACGAGCATGCCAATGAGCATTTTTTACAAGTTAAAAGGCGTAATATTGGTTTAGTTTCAAGAAAAAAGTAATTTTGAAGATTAACATCGTCACTTTTCTGTTTAAAACAACAAAGTGGAAACAAAGTTACCTGATATTCTTGGATCGGATTCCTCTGCTCATCTGGCATGTACCAGGAGGCATCCAATACCTGAATAAAAAACAAAATAAATTAATAAAATGATCACAATATTTAGTTTCATAAATTTTAAACACATATAAATAATCTTCCAACAATAAGAATCTTGAGGAAATCATATCTGCCTTAATGTTAGCAGCTTAAGATTTTATAACCTTTTACACCATTTTTCCTGGTTTAAGTAGAATATATCTCTTAGTTGTTTTTTTAATTAAACAAGATATATTATGAAGGAAAGAGAAGAGAAAAGTACATCAATGAAGGATAAGAGATACCCCACAAATGAAGAGAAAGAGAAAAAAAGCAATAATCACCACAACCCATTCTCTTTGCAAAATAGACAGAGATATATTCCAATAGTACGCACACACCTTAGCACAGAGCAAGGTCAGAAAAGTTGACCTATCACAAAAAGTAGCAGCAGCAAGAAATAACCTTTAAAGAGCCTTGCATTTCTCTCCAAATACAGCAGCCACAACCACAGTAGCGGAGATGCTTAATTGTTTTCCATTTGATTTCATTATCTTTTCTCTCATAGCATTCAATCTTATCTTCTTTTCCGATCTCTTTTTTTCCTTTGTAAGAATTTCACATCTGCACTCAAATGCATACAGAAGGTCCAAATGGCCATACTCGATTCACATGACATGGTCTAGGCATTAGAAATGCCTTTGTAAATCAGGTGGAAAAATCAACCATTATTAAGTGCAAAGTCAAGGCATTTGGTATTGCTGATTGACCAACTTAGAAGTGACAGACATGGAAAGTAAATTCATTTGATGACATTATTCCTTGTTCCAGCATCAAATCAACTCAAACAGTACAGTCTCAGGTTTGAAGCTTGAACAACATATGAAACTATACCAAATTAAATACATGTAAACATGTGGGAGATACATGCCAAAGAATGCAAACTTCAAATTAATTCCTTCTTCCTTTGAGGCACAGTGCTTCATACAAAGAGACCAGGTCCTCTCATGGATAGCTTCAGGCTTTGTAAGCAAACTAAAATGCTATTTAAGTAAACAAGTAAGGCAGTATACAAATAGTTGAAGTTATGCATGTAAACATGCATGTTGTATGTGTATACAAAAACAAAGATAACATAATTAAAAGTATGGACACGCATGCGTTCAGGCACCACACAACCAAACACATAAAAATATAAGTATTACATATTCATGTGGTTACACCGGGTCTAGATATAAGGACCAGGAAAAGAGAGAAACTGTAGGGAAAAAAGATTGATGGTTGTTTCCAACCGAATAGGGGCTAAGAAGATAGTATACCAAAAAAAAGTTACCTTTATATCAGGCTCCCTAAGGTTAGCATGGAGCCAGTCAACTGAAACAACAGGTTCATTGACGGGTATAGATAATGTTGAGAAATCAGATTTTCTTCCCACTCCTGCAGAAGCCATAACAGGACAAACTAAACCAGATGTCCTATAGGCTGTATAGGTGGAACCAGGCCGGGAATGAAATAGTCTCTTATTCTGCAAGTAACAGGAAAAACCATATAAATGTTTTGCTCAAAGTTTTTCATAAAAAAAAATCCTCAAATAGAACAAAAAGATTCAGGGGATATATTTAGGCAACAAAAACCACCTTTAGAAGCAGAACAGTTTCTGTCCTTAGTTGTTTAAAAAAAAAAAACAGTTTCAGTCCTTAGAAAAAACCCCCCTCCACCCCCCCCTCCCCCCTCCCAAAAAAAGAACTACAGCTGTTTACTTCCACACACTGCCTTCATGTGCGTAACAAATGGCACCTAGTCAGCTATCCTGACCCCTTGGCGTCCTTCAATTAGAAAATTAAAAGTACAAATAAACAACAACAGAGAAGCAGAGAATTGCAATTTCACTTTGTAACCTGAAAGGGCAAGATACGCTCTTCCTTGGGCAAGAAAGTTTGCTATAGCTCAATGCTGCGAACTCCAGAAAGCATACAATTGAAAATCACAGCATAAAGACTGTAGTCTTGACTGCAACAAAGTCAGTGTATTTACTAAGGAATTGTTGCATTTATAAAGCCCCTCACCACCACCGAACAACAAATTCAAAACCCTATTTCTTCCTCCCAAAAGCCACCATAAAAACCAGCTACACATTAACAAAAACCAATCGCATTCATTGCTCAACAACATCCAATAATCAAAAACCGAAATCAATCAACACAATCGCATAGATTCAATCAAAGGAAAATCCAAAACCCAGAAACTAGGCGACGATCAAAACGAAATCCAGATAAACAATTCTCCTCAAATGGAGTGGCTAGGAAACTTACATTGAGGAGAGAGTTGAAAATTTGAGGTTTATGCGGATGAGAAAGTGAGTAAATCAAGCGGTGACTCGCAAGGGACCTGGCTAAAAGAGCTGATGCCATGATTCACTCAGAGAACATGTAGAAAGTGATTGAAGATTTTAGAGAGGCAATTTGTTTGTCAGATTCTGAAGTTTGCATCGATATTATATTGTAGCCGCTGTCGCTAGTCTGACGTCTGGGTTTTAGGAGAGCTCTTAGCTACTACGCACTTTCAGTCCTGAGCAGTCTGTATTTAAATATATACATACACGTATAGATATACGGTGCTTTCTCAACAATATATTACGTAACATCATTATGTTATTTACTGAGTTTTAATTTTATTAAATATGTAAATTTTTTTATTTAAAAATTATATTATTTAATTTAATATGTTTAAAATTTAATTCATTAAGATATTATTATAAATATACATATAATTGTATTTTATTTTAATGAATATAATAAAAATAATTATTATAATAATTATATTTTTTTAATTAAAATAATGACAATAAATGAATACTCGACCTGACATTTCCTTCACAAAAATATTAATATACTTTTATTTGGTTAT